GCTGCACAGTAAAAGTGACCGGACGCGCAGGGCCTGCGTCCTGTCAGTGGTGACGTGCGCTGACATAGCATGCTGAGTTGACCCAGAACGGAGCGGACTCAGGGGTGCGTCCGGTCGGTCATCAGTGGCTCTGGGAGCTCTTTGGACTCGACCTGACGCTGCCTCGCCTGCATCCGATCATTTTTCAAGCTATGCATCCGATCAGGTGGTGTTCACGTGTGTCAGAGCTAGCCATTGGGCGCCAACGGCTACTTCATTTGAAGAGGGACATGTGGAGGTCGAGCAACGACCGGACGCAGCGACCGAACCGTGGGGCAATAAATAGAAGTGGTGGCCAGCCTTTGGCCGGTTGTTGAGCACACTAGAGCCTTGGTGGCTTATGTGGTGGTGCTTGGGAGCCCTCTAACTCACACTTGCTTGATAGTGTTCATCCGATCGAGTGAGTGAGTGATTCTAGTGCGATTGCATCATGAGGTTGCATCGAGTGGCACTAGGTTATCGAGTTGCAAGCCGGTGGTGCTTGTTACTCTTGGAGGTTGCCACCTCCTAGATGGCTTGGTGGCTTGCGACTCCGTTGAAGCGCGCGAGAAGATTATGCGGTGCTCCGGAGGAGGATTTGTGAGGGGGATTGTGCTCACCCCGTGGGGATCGCGAAGAGCAACTCTAGTAGAGCGTGTCATTGAGCTACCCTCACTTTTAGGGTAAGTTCTTGCGGTGCGCGACGTGCATGCTTGGCAGGTGATGCCAATTAGCCGCCGAACCACCAAGTGAGCGGTCGACACAATGGGGACTAGCGTGTTGGCAAGCACGTGAACCTTGGGATAAAATCATCATGTCATCCTTGTCTTCCCGTTGGTTTGCATCCCCTTTACACAAGCTTGCATCTACTTTATATACATTGTGCGTGTGTAGTTGCTCTTGTAATTAGTTACTTTGTGTAGTTTGCTAGTTACCTTCTTGCTTGTGTAGCATAGAAGTAGCTCCCTTGCGTGGCTAATTTGGTTTTAATAACCTTGTTAGTCACATTGCTTAGTTTGTATAGCTAAGTAATTTGTGCTCGATAATTTGGCTTGTGTAGCCTTGTTATTTAGCATTGCTAGTGAGCTTAGGTGGCTTTGTGCTTTTGCATCAATAGTTGTGTAGGAGCTCCCCCGGTTGTGTGAAGTACTAGTCGCATAGGTTTGTGTGACCTTGCAAGATAGATTGGTTAGGTGAGCTCTAGCTAGCTCGGCACCTTAGTTGCATAATTAGGATCTTTGAAAGGTGCTAGAGAACATAGATAGAGGGGTGTAGTCTTGGCTAGACCGATAGTTTTAATTCTACGCTTGTATCAGTTAGTCGGCGTGCTTAATTTTTTAGAAAGGACTATTCACCCCCCTCTAGTCCGCCATCTCAACCCTACATCATTCGAACCGATGATGCAAGTATCACACCGTTGCTTCTATCGCTACGTCAATGAAAGTGGCGACAGTGATAAATCAATCTGTAGTAGTGTAACCCATCTCATCCACACGTTCACCCATCACATCTCACCACACTCTCACTCTCTAGGCGGCAAGGACAACTCCCTCTCGTGCCTTGCCTCAACGGTCAAAGCCGGAAACCAACACCAAACCCGGGGGAGAAGAAGAAAGCACACCTCTCTCTAGTCAAGTGAAGCAGTAACATAGAAAAGGTCCATAGCTGTGGAAAAGATGGCATATGTATCGATCGATCAACCATACACTCTGCAGAGGTTTACACTACCCATGAGATACACCATCATCGACGATGTACATCGTCTAGGTTGATTCCAGGATGCTTTCTAGCTTGAAACGATACCACCCTACCACTCAACCCTGAGGCACCCCAGAGTCCACCGGCACGTTGAGACTACGAAACACAGTACCGGGCCCATCAAAGGGTACCACACGCCTAGAGAGGTTCGGGTCCAAAACACCCTCACCTCCCACACTATCAACTACAACCTAGCAGTAGTTGCATCGTCCAAACTAGACCACATCCGTCTCCCTCCCACTGAGAGCGAGTGGGGTACAAGGATTCCTATGAATCGGTTCCCAAAACATATAAGTCCTTAGGGCGATCAAACAAGACATCTTCAGAAGTGGGGATAACCAACACCCCGTGCTTCAACAGCACCTCTACTCTAGGGATTCATCCCACAAAGACACTCCTCCCCAGAGTCTATACCTCAAACCGGTACCCGCCATAGGTACAATTCTCAAGGAGCGCTCAGGTCACACTTCGGCAAGACTCGCTCAACAGCTCATCATAGAATCTTGTTCGGCCGACTCAACCCTCACCACACACCCAAGACACGCACCAAGATCTCCCCAAGTTGTTATCACATTTTTACCATAGTATCAGCACCAAGTGCCTTAGCCACTCACAAACAATCCTCCACCAAGCATCACATCATAGATATAATGCGTAGTAGAAGCAAGTAGTAAGTAGTATGCGAGCGTCTATCCTAACAGTTGGTGTGCAGGGGTAAAGGTTGCATCAAGGTAATGGCTTTCAAGCAATTCTACCATGCGACCTATGACAAATCATTTGCATAAAAGTAAAGCACTAGCAGCTACATTGTTGCATGTCTAATAGGATTCTATGAGGTTGGGTGGGACATGGCACCTGTTGACTGGTCATTTCTGAGATCCTCAGTGTGTTTATAGTCGTTCTCCTCAAAGTCTTGCCGTTGTCCGCGTGTCCTTCCTCCAACGGGTTCCGATCCGATCAACGCTATCCTCGATGCAACTACCTCGATAGAGCGAAAAACAAGGCAAAGAGCAATAAATACTCTAAAAAGGCAACAAGACATAGAAGATCGAACAACACCAAAAGAACACCAAGGAAAAAAGACTTAGCCCTCGCGGAGGATGTCCGATCCTTGGGCTGGAAAGAGACAGAAGTGGTTGTTTGCTAAGCATAAGCTCAAGTCACAGCCTAGCTAGTACTTCTCGGGCCGATCGTGTCGACCTGTACGGCTTCAAGAATAACGGCCGAGACTCTAGCTCAACTTAAGCGAGCGCCACAGAAACAAGACTAGCCCTCACGAAGTGAGTCCATATCCTCGGGCTTAAAAAGGGAGAAAGTTGGCTAGGCATGTCCATGTCACATCCTCGGTAGAGACGGCACTCTAATGGTCGATTCGAGTCGACTCGCATGGTTCTGAGAACACAACATAGACCTTAGCTTCGCTAACTAGAAGATCAATCCACATCTTACTAGATCGATGGGGACCGATAGAGGCAAAAAGGGACTTTGGTTCCACGGCGCTTCGATCCACATGTCATGGCAAAGGACACGGACTGAAGAAATAGGAACAAGAAGATCAATCCACATCTTACTAGATTGATGGGGATCGATAGAGGGGAGAAGAGAAGATAGAAGAACGGTCACCGCATTCTCTCGACCAACGCGCCATGGCAAACGGGCGAGGGTTGAAAGAAAAGAGACACCAATCCCGTGGGGTTCCTCGATCCACACCAACTCGTAGGGCACCACGACCTACATGCAACTCAATCGGCACTATGCTATTCCTAGGGTTCATAGCGTTGCGGTTGTCACCGCGAGAACCATAAGAACGCTACAGTCTAAGTGGCACAAGCATACGAGGTGGTTAGGAAGAACAAAAGAGCAAAGAGAGGTATAACTCCATGGCCATGGTGAGGCAAACTCGCGGCCACAAGCTACACCTACGACCATGGCGGGACGAACCCACGACCGAAACATTCGAACGAATTACAATCCCTCGACCGGCTTGAAGGCTCGGTCCACAGGCAAACGACAACGCAAGAACTAAACCAACAACACGACATAGAGTAGCACATAACCATAGCACATGGAATATACCGGCACGAAGGCACGACACAGGCATAGATATCAATATCAATAAATCATGTATCAAGTGTATGAAAGAGCAAAGAAATGAAAAACAAGGGCTTTGCCGACGTCGAGGATGGTGTCGGCGAGGGTTTCAAAGGCTTGACCTTGCTGCGATGAGGAAGACAGAGGTCTACGGCATGTCTCAGCCGGCAGCGGCTTGCTGTAGCCTGCTACAGCCACCCTTGGCCGGCTGTGGCCTGCTGTTGGCGGGCCACGGCTGGCTATGGCTAGCCGGGGGTTGGCTGGACGTGGTAGCGGACGGCTGGGAGGTAGCTGCTGCTGCTGGACGCAGCTCTGGTGGCGACGGTGGTGGCCAGAGTCGATGAAAGATGCTGCAAGGCCATGGCTTGAGCTCACAGTAGAGAACGGTTAGGATCCGTAGAAAACGGAGGCCGGTTTCAAGGAAGATGAGTGACTGCGTGGCTCAGCTGGCGGTGTAAGTTGGCGGTCGATGGCGAGGTGGTGCTGGCCGTGGTTGTGGGATGCTGCTGCGAGCATCAGGAGGCCGACGCGGTCAGCAGCTCCGGTTCCCGGCTCCCGGTGGTGGCGAGCAGGGGTGGCTTCTCGGCGGCATAGAGGAGCTCCAGCGAGGTGCTGCTGTTGCCTGGCGAGCAAGAGGAAGGTGGCAAGGTGCTGGGTCAGAGTAGAGGATGACGAGGTGGTGTTGCGGTACGGTGCCGGTGATGGAGTCCGGTGCGGTGGAGATAGCTCGGCACAGTCGTGACGAGGACAAGGCAGAGCATGGCGTCGCGGTTCCGTGCTCGGCGAGGGGCAACAGCTCGGCATCGGGGTGATCGGCGAGGACGGGTCACAGGCACGATAAGGGCGAGGCAGCAACTCAACGAAGCGGCTCCTGGCGTCGTGGTCGCAATTGCTCCTGGTGAAGGCGCGAACGGAGGAGGGCGCGGCGTGGTCGTAGAGGCGAGGTGGAGCTCGGCGTCATGGGCTCGAGGCGAGGAGCAGGGATGGCGAGGACGGTGCAGCTTAGCTCGCGGACGACCGTGCTAGTGTCGGTGTGGCTTGGTGGCGACGAAGGATGAGGCGCGGTCGCGGATGCAGAGGTGAGGTCCGACCGACTGGGCCTCTCCGCGACGCAGCCTTGGCCGCTCCTAACGATGGCGAGCGGTGGCTCGACGGGGGAGCTCGGGGACGGTAGCAACGTCACGGGGAGGAAGAAGCAGGCGGACGAGGGTGGCGAGGCGCCGCATGGCGTCGGGGGGTGGCGCGGCACGGCGAGACACCGGGCGGCGTTGCGGGCTCAGAGTATGGCCATAGTGGCGGCTATGCTCTGGCGAGGTGGTGGTGGCTGGGAAGCTCGACGAGCAGGGCACCAAGGGACTCGGCGCGGCTGCGAGGAAGAGGAGAAGGGAGTGGCGGCGGCTGGTGGTGAATTGGAGAAGAGGAGCGGCGGCTGGCGTTCTTATACGCGCGGCTGCCTAGGGTTTTGGGGCACCGACGACTGGATGCCTCGGCGTCCGTACTTGTGGCCACAAGGCGAACATCGGGGCGCGTGCGGCATCGAGAGCTGAGGACCGAGCGGCGGCGGCTGGGAGCGGTCGGGCGCACGATTGAGAGCGGGTCTGGGGCGCGCCTAGGGTTTCCAAACCCAGGCGTGGTGGCTTGGGCCTGCGGGGGTGGGCTGCCGGGCCAGTGAGGCCGAGCTATGGGCCTACGGGGGGCGCAGCTGGGCTAGCGGGCTGCGCTGCTAGGCTGCGCGCAGGAGGCCTTGGAGGAATGGAGAGGAGGGGAGTTGGGCCGCGAGTGACGATGGGCCAACGCGGGGGGGAGCCGGCTGGGCTGAAAGAAGGAAGGGGGGTGGAATGGAGGGGTTTTGGCCCATTGGGGAAAGGAAAATGGTTTTCCATTTATGATTCAAGGATTTTGAGATGGAATTTAAAGGAGAATTTGAGAGGGAATTTCAAAAGGGGATTTGAGAGGAATTGCTACGGTTTTGTGCACTCCAAACTCTAAACAAAACTCAAACTCAACACCAACTCAAAAACACAGGCACTCTCCTACAATCCAATCTACATGAGTGCAACAATTTATTAGCAACTCTCCTAGGTTTGACTTAAGCTTGACCTAGCGACTACATGCTTCACTCATTTGCAAAACAAATTTAAAAATCTCGTATTTTTTAATACTCGAAAACCCGGGTTGTTATAGTTGCACAACCCTAACACCTCACCTAAACACTCCTAGATGATCACCACACATGCTTAGGAAATATCACCCAATAATCCTAGCTTCACACACACCAAAAACACACTGAAGGGACCATGATGTCTACGAGGGGGATGAATTAGGTAACTTAAAACTATTTCTAACCTACGGCCTCTAAAACAACCTAGTCAAAACATATGCAATAAATAATCTATTTAGATGTGAAACTAAGGTTTTGCTAGGTGTGTTGCTATCTCTACCGCAAAAGAGTTATGCAACCTAGATTCCAATCCTATTAACCAGCAATTTCCCCCTGCTGCCCACTAGGTTAAATAAATGATGAAACTTGTGCTCGATGTTTTAAATGTTAGGCATCGTTTGGCACGTCTTCGCCTCACCAGTGAAGTTTTTTTTGCTTTGGCTCCATGAACAGCTCCGTCGATGAAGCTGGAGCTATTTTAGGCAAACCATTTGGCAAAACAGCTCCACATGTAGATCTCTTAAAACATGCTCTCATAGAACACCATGCAAGGCCCCGCCAGGGCGAGTTGAAGCCGAATGAAGCCACTATTTTAGCTCCACCCTCCACATATCCTCTGTGAGAGCACGATTTAAGAGGCTCCTTGAGTGAAACCATTTAGTTTTACCTCGTTTGGCACAAAACGGCTCCAAACGGCTTCAAGAGCTTGTGGAGAAACCGTGCCAAACGGAGCCTTAGCCTAAAAGTTGGTGTTGAATATAGGTGACGTGGCAGCATGAGAAACCAGGAAAATCTTATAACGGGTCTCCTATTTAGGCCCTGTTTGGCAGAGCTGATTCTCTGTTGAATCCAGCAGGAGCTCTACCAAACAGTTTGTCAAACAAGTGATTCTCTGATTCTATGAAGTGATTCTCTGAAATGAACTAAGAGGATATGAGCTAAAAAAGTATCTTCTCCTGATTCTATTAAGTGTTTCTCTATCATTATTTTGAGAGTTTATGCTAAAGATACAAAAAGAATCATTTTCAGCCATAGAATCACTTCTCTCAGGAATCAGAAATCAGCTTCAGAATCATACACACTATTCTGCAGCACTACTTCAACAGTATTTTTCAACGAACGAACAGTATTTTTCTCTCACAACAAATCAATATAAACATCATCATAAGCCAAATTTCAACGAAACGAATATAATGAGATGGGGCTCTACCAAACATGTCCTTATGTATAGAAGATTCTGAGTTAGTCTCCCCATTCTATAAAGAGTGCCATTCTCACTTTATAAGAAGTCAAACATTTTTAACTTTAACCAAATATATATAAGAATATATTAATGACCAAATATATATAAGAATATATTAATATTATGGTGTGTAATTAGTATTATTAGATAAATTACTAAATATATTTTTATAATAAACTCATTTGGAATATAAATATTGCTAATTTTTTCTACAAACCTATGGTTGTTTGGATGCAAGCTAAAAATTAACCCTAGTGCATCCAAATAAGAAGATTAATAGGTGGGCTAATTTTGCAGCCAAGTCTTTAACTAATTGGTAGACAAATATATAGCCAATCTTAATTAATTTGAGCCATTTTTCAGTCCAATTAGCAACTAGTCTAGCTCGTCAAACATGCTTCTAGTTAAATTCAAAAAAGTTTGACCAGTAATTTTTTTTAAAAAATGGAGGAAGTAAGACGGAAGAGAAGACAATTAAACCAAAGATAATAAATAATAAACATTTTAAAAGATGGAGGAATTAGCAGCCGCTGCTGCAGGCCAGCAGCGGGTTGGTGGAATAAACGATCCACGAGACACAGGCACCGTCGCACGGTGCTGGAACTCCAACTCTCGAGTCTCGAAGGCTCAGCGGGGTCCAAAGCCGACGACGAACAGGAGGAGCCCGGCTCCGCACGCGGGAGCGAGAGGATCGCCGGCGCAGGATGTGGTGCGCATCGTGCTTGGCGTCCGCCTGCGCGGGCTGCACCTGCAACCTCTGCGCGTCGGCGGCATCGGCCGTGTCCCGCCGCTCCGCGCGCCTCGCCTACTGCGGCCTCTTCGCCGCCTCCCTTACCCTCTCCTTCTTGCTCCGCCAGTTCGCCGCGCCGCTCCTCAAGCATATCCCATGTATGTGTCCCACAATTGCTACTTACTCTCCGGCAACCCCAACCCATCTTATGGCTCTAATTCCTCTACCTTTGAATGCTCTTGCTGTTTTCTCCCTCCAATTGCTAAGATCGATAGATCTGCGTGGAGTTCCTATCTTCAATTTTTGTGGCAGTTCTAGTTAATTTTGTTAATTGTGATGTAGCGTGCTAGATCGACCTTACCCTTTGTGTGGTTGTGAACTGACTTGGGGAATTCGCCACCGGATGCCTACTATTTAGTCACTCATCCATTTATCCATTTTTATGTTCCTCCACATGCACGATTTCAGTTTTTAACTTGATCTAGATGATGAATCCAAGGCACGCTTGACATGGAGTTCCCAGGGAAGTCAGATAATTTCATGAGCTTTACGTGTAAACATTTGCTCTCTTGAATGTGTAGAATTCACTAAATTTCTCCACATCCCTCAACCTCAAGGCTCAATATGCAGAAAAGTAATGTAGAGCGTCCCTTTGCTGCACTAGATGAAATGGATTTCAGTAGAATATTTACTATTTTGTCATTCCCGTAAGGTACTAGCAGACGACAGAGGTTCATAATCGTTGTTGTGGAAAGTTCTATAGAGCATCCTTTTGGTTTACATTTACCAGATGTCTTTTCAGTACAGCCCCCGAGCTGTACATTGACATTTACCAGATTTTTTTTTCTTAGGCACAGGCACAGCCACCGAGCGTTGTTCCTCTTTTGTGCTGTAAATATCTAGAACTGTGATTTTTGTTTGAGTGCAAGTTCATAAGTCATAGGTCTTGCACAGGTTGAGAATCTTGAGCATGGATTAGTGCCCCATTGGGACTCAGGAATTTCACAGGAATCATGTAGAAATTTTGCAAGGAAAACACAGGAAACAAGAAAAAATCCCGTCCGTATTCCAAAGGGGGCCTTAATTTTTTTTTAAATGCATCAGTGTAGTTTTTATGCACATGCATGGTTGAGCATTTGTGTGGTCTTGTTGTCATCACTGGGAACAACTTTGCCTATTTACCATAAATGCATGCTGGTATACTGATGCAGAGAATGTTTGATTTGTAAAACTGTCAACTTTTGGAGAGTTGCTATTTCTGAAAGTGTTCTTCTTTGTTTTGAAATTTTGATCCATCAAACCATTGAGCTTATGATAAATCAGATGGACTTTTCAGGCCTTATTAATTTAATGATCATGTAAGTGGCCTAGTAAGTCTGTAATGTATTGCATTGCAGGGATAAATGCATTTGATCAAACACCACCAGAAGAATGGTTTCAAATGAATGCTGTTCTTCGTGTAAGCCTGGGGAACTTCTTGTTTTTTGCAATATTGGCTCTCATGATGATTGGTGTGAAAGACCAGAATGATCGGCGAGATGCATGGCACCATGGTGGCTGGATTGCAAAGATTGCTGTATGGGCTGTTCTCATTGTTCTTATGTTTTGTGTGCCGAACATTGTTATTACTATTTATGGTAAGTCAGTAACCTCGTTTTCCTCATCATTCTCTATCTTTAGTGCAATGCAATTTTGCAAGCATATCTTAACATGTTTGTAGTAACAAGATGCATATGAATATTGTTTGCAGACATCTAAAATAATCTCTTTTCATGATAATTGTACCACCTGTGTATTTAGTCTTGAAAGTTTTGCATATACTGATAGATTATATTCAGGCAGACACCTCAGTTTGTTGGTTTCTTTTTTTTCCTCGTGTTGACATTATCTCCAAAGTCAGAGAACTCATGACGGCTTGAGCTAATTCATAGATTGCACTACATATACCTCCTTTTGCATTTCTAATTATTGGTAGATTGTTGTGGTGCCCTGTAATCCTTATGAGCCAATTGGCGTTTTTAGGGAAGTTTGACTAATTTTGAGATTGGTTTACAGAGGTACTTTCGAAGTTTGGATCTGGCTTCTTTCTTCTAGTACAGGTTGTGATGCTTTTAGACTTCACAAATAATTGGAATGACTCATGGGTTGAGAAAGAAGAGCGAAAATGGTTAGTGTGCTGAGCACAGGCTAGTGATGCTTGAACTTGCTTTGTCTCCTGTGATGTTGATTACGGCATCTTGTTTGATATTTCAGGGAAATAGCTTTGCTGGTAGTGACTGTGGTTTGCTATCTCTCTACATTCGCCTTCTCTGGTGTTCTCTTCATGTGGTTTAATCCCTCTGGTCATGACTGTGGTCTTAATGTGTTCTTTATTGTCATGACACTCATCCTTGCTTTTGCATTTGCAATAGTTGCTTTGCACCCCCAGGTAATATGCCTCTTCAAACTCCAAATCTCGTCAAGCTATAACAAGAATAAGTATTTATGTGCAGTTTTGAAATAACTATTGGTAAGCACAAAGAAATCTGAATCATTTGATTGTCTTAATGATCCAAATTTCTAATGCAATGGTTCATACAGTTTTCTGCTGGTGCCTGATACATGTTGCTGTTTATGCGTAATGGAATACTATTTCCTTTTCCAGGTCAATGGAAGCGTTATGCCTGCTTCTGTCATTTCTGTTTACTGTGCATACCTGTGCTACACTAGTCTCTCCAGTGAACCGGATGACTATGAGTGCAATGGGCTTCACAGGCATTCTAAGCAAGTTTCATTGGGTGCTCTTATACTCGGGATGCTCACTACGGTGCTCTCTGTTGTGTACTCCGCAGTTCGCACTGGATCTTCGGCTACATTCCTTTCACCGCCATCATCTCCTAGATCTGGTAAGAATACTCCAATTACAACTCATGCATAGCCGGATGCTCGGTCAACTGTCATGGTGATGAAAAATGCATGCAGGAGCCAAAAACCCACTACTCGGTGACGAGGAGGATGGCAAAGGTGATGGCAAAGAAAGCGAACCGCGCCCTGTGAGCTATTCCTACACCTTCTTCCACCTCATCTTCGCCCTTGCAAGCATGTATTCAGCCATGCTCTTAACTGGCTGGACGAGCGCTGCGTCAGAGAGCTCAGAGCTGATGGATGTTGGATGGACAACCGTTTGGGTGCGCATCAGCACAGAGTGGGTCACCGCAGTGTTGTACATCTGGACCCTCGTCGCCCCACTGCTCTTCCCAGACCGTGATTTCTCCTAGGCACCCCGCACCCATAACCTATGAGTTGTTTAGTGGTGTTAGCTGCGATTGTGATTGTGAATAAGCAGAAGTTGGGAATTGGTAGGGATCTGGTTATCTGTATGCTATCTGGCTTGCCTAATGTGGTGGTAGTGGTCGGTACCTGTTTGTGTGGCCTTGTAGAAAATATATTTCGGCCGAGTGTTGGTTGTGGATTTTAAGTCATAGCTATATGTGGCATGATGTCAAGTTGCGGTTGACTCTGTAATGACGACAGTTATCATTTGTAAAGAATACGTCTATTGCTCGTAATGTTGTACTAACTACGCCTGTAGCTTGTGTTTATAGACCTACAGCGCGGTTGATTGCAGTTTTGGAATGTGCCTCTAGGAAGTGATTACTGGGTGGCGGGTGGGTAAAATTACTGAGATGGAAAGCACGAGGGTCAGGGCGTGTGTGCCTGCCGTGCTGCTAGCCACATATGCCGACTTGCCGAGACTGACAGTGGTCGACGCCTCGACGGTTTGTGGTGCCATCTGCTCTAGGGAGTAGGGACCTGTCCTCCCACTACGCAGGCAGGGCTGATTGAAGAAGCGTCTCCCAGGTCCCAACTAGCATCTCCCCCACCCACCCACCCCCCACCCCACCCCAAGTTCCCTCTCTTTGTTCTCAGCACATTGATGGGGGGAAAGAACACAACGAAAACACGCTCTTCACACCTATACAAGCAGCAGATATACGTCCATGGCTGTATGCCTAAGTATGTTTAGAAGAAAAAACTTTATATATAAAAGACTACGGTATCCAAATGATTAGTACAGATCACGGTAACATTGCAAGCCACCTGCAAGATAAGATTCGCTACACAAAGGCTCAGACAGCTGAACTAGAACTAACAGCCACAATTACAGATTAGATTTCACCTGACCGAAAAACAGCCAGTGGAAGTGACCAAGGCTTTCCTGAGCTCAGTTTGCACCCATAAGGGTCAAAATCAAGCGGGGCTGCAGACATACATACCTACCGATCGGTGCGATGGTGCCACGGCTCAATTTGACTACCATTCCTTGTCATAACTACCACAATTAGCTACACAAGCTAACTACTATGTCAAAGCTCTGCAGTAGCTCCGAGGGCCTGCATCATCATTTCTGTTTTTTCTCACACTTCTTTTTCCTCTTGTAGTTCTGGAGCACTTCGGACCGCTGGAGCGGTGAGGCTGATAGCAGCCACTTGCTAAATTCAAGGTCATCCATACCCATGAAGGATGCGATACGGCTAAACTCTTTCCTTTTCTGCTCCAGTGAATAAGATCTTGCCACTTTTCTTTTCTCCTCCAATGAATAAGATTTTTCCATGACAGTATGCTTTGTTTCATTCTTACTGTGCAGCTCCTCTAAGGAGCTCTGAACAGTCTCGTCTGTTCCACCCTTCTCTCTTTCGTTTGTTCGAGAGTTCACAACATCCTCATTGCGGTGGGCATAAACTATCCCTGTTAAACAGACCAAATTTATTACTTCAATATAAAATGGATCAGTGAGAGGGATGAGAGGTTACAGAAGTCAGCCTACCAGGCTACTCTCAATTAGTAATCTCATATGAACTTTTACAATTACACAGAAACATAATTATTCTCAAAATCACGAGCATGATAGACATAGCTTACTAGACAATACACCCGGGAGTCAAGGGTGAAAATATTTTATGCCAGGTTTTTCACTTTTCAGCAAAGAGAAATAGAGAATCACTGTATATTTATAGCTGGATCCATAAACAGCTGTTCAGCTTCAGGCTACAGAAGAATAGCTTGATATTCCAAAACAGTGTAAATAACATAATAATTCAACTTTTAAGCAGTCTATATTTTAGTGTAGAAAATGCAAGCTACCTGAATCTGAATGAAGACATGCTAAGGCGCGTTCGTGAAAAAAGCAAGCTACTCTGAATTTATGAAGGACTGTGATTGAATAAGCTCAAAATATCCCAAGACTAGAAAATGATAGATTGAACAGCAGGCCTTGAATACTAGCTACAGATAAACACCATAAAAGAACAGAATGATGCAGTATTTCAAAATCTTTTGAGCAAGTATCTCCGAAGGTCTAGATTGCATCTAAAATGAATAACTAGTTTTCTGTATCAGCCTTTGAAGCTAACAGCCACAGTAATGACTAAACCTTCGCCATTTGGTCCATGAACCTTTTATGAGTATATTTATGGTAAACATAAAGTAATTTTTCCGAGAAAGAGCATACCAAAATCAACCAATTTCTGATTATCCGTATCTGTTGTTGCTGTGGAAGACTTCCTATTCTCTTGTGAACCAAATAAATCAGTATCGACTATTTCTCTTATCCCTGTTGCTTCTGTTGCACTACTCTTGCCATGTTCTCCATGCATCTCAATAATCTCACTAGTAAAAAGCTTATCGGACAAGTCACGGAAAAGATTGCAGATCCCAAAGAGCTCACCTTGAAATTTCTTGTCATCCTAAATCAGAATTATAAGTTATATAAAAAAATCAGAATTATCCAAAATAGATACCCAAAACGGATACCAGGTATCTAGTCAGTAAGCTGTTAACTTAAAACTACCAAAAGGCCAATCTGAATTAAACTATTGTGCAGTCGTGATTGCACCTAGTCTGTCACACCTGCAACAGCTAAAATAGCCCAAACTGAAATTCTCAAACTAACATATGCTGATGTGTTAAAAAAATGCATAGGAAGATTGTTGGGTGGTGACATGTTTGGTTTTTCTCAAATTCCATATAACAACAATTATGCATAATGTTATTCTATGGATTACAAGAATAAAGGGGATATTCAAAGTTGTACTAATTACCGGAGAATTAAGTTGATGAGCCATACTATGAAGCTATGGGAGAGAGTTATCGAGCATCGCTTGAGAGCAATAACGCGGGTCTCTATGAACCAATTTGATTTCATGCCCGGAAGGTCAACCGTGGAAGCCATTTTCTTAATAAGACAAGTTATAGAGCGGTATAGGGAGAAGAAGAAGGACCTACACATGGTTTTTATTGACTTGGAGAAGGCGTATGATAAAATACTAAGGAATGTTGTGTGGTGGGCTTTGGACAAACATAAAGTCCCAACGAAGTACGTCGGGCTCATTAAGGACATGTATAACAATATTGTGACTAGTGTTCGAACAAGTGGGAGACACGGATGACTTCCCGATTAGGATAGGACTACATCAAGGGTCAGCTTTGAGCCCTTATCTGTTTGCCTTAGTGATGGATGAGGTCACAAGGGACATACAAGGGGACATCCCTTGGTGTATGCTTTTCGCGGACGATGTAGTGCTAGTTGATGAAAGCCGGACAGGAGTGAATCAGAAACTGGAGTTATGGCGGGAGACTTTGGAGTCCAAAGGTTTTAGACTCAGTAGAACTAAAACTGAGTATATGAGATGTGACTTTGGCACTACTACTCGGGAGGAGGAAGATATTAGTTTGGAAGGTCAAAAGTAGTGCCTAGGAATGATACATTTCGATATTTAGAATCAATGTTACAGAGAGACGGGGATATTGATGAATATGTTAGCCATAGAATCAAAGCAGGGTGGATGAAGTGGCACCAAGCATCTGGTGTCCTATGTGACAAAAGGGTACCACAAAAGCTAAAAGGCAAGTTTTATAGGACGGCGATTAGACATGCTATGTTGTATGGTGCAGAATGTTGGCCTACAAAAAGACAACATGTTCAACAGATAAGTGTCACAGAAATGCGTATGTTGCGTTGAATTTGCGGTCATACAAGAAGGGATCGAGTTCGGAACGATGATATATGTGATAGATGAGGGGTAGCACCAATTGAAAAGCTTGTCCAACACCGGTTGAGATGGTTTGGACATGTCCAACGGAGACCTCCAGAGGCACCGGTGCGTAGTGGAATCCTAAGCCAGGATAGTAACGTGAAGAGAGGCAGAGGAAGACCAAAGTTGACTTGGGTAGAGACAATAAAAGAAGACTTGAAAGAATAGAATATACCCAAAGACTTAGCCTTAGATAGGAGTGCTTGGAAAACAGCTATTCACGTGCCTGAACCTTAGCTTCTGCTGGGTTTTAACTCTAGCCTACCCCAACTTGTTTAGGACTTAAAGGCTTTGTTGTTGTTGTTATTATTCTGTGGATTACACAATGTCACTTCCTTGTAACAATACACCCAGGTATTTTGCATCAATGTATGAATTCCCAAACACTTAACATCCTGATTGGGTCTTGGACCCAAAAAGCAGGTGTATAACAGTCAGAAGACAGTAAATTTGAAACATTTCTGAATGTATGAAGTCCTTATCAAATGTCTCAATCCTAACACATCTCTGAAGATAAGAAGAAAATGAAAGAAACACATATCTCTTACACAGTTAGACCTTTGTTTGGAAAGCAGAGAAAATGTTTATGGAACTGAACCAAATGGAGTGGTTAACTTGGGCAAACACAGTCGTAGCAGAACACAAAAGGAACATATTGTGACCCTTTTTAGTGTAGCTGTCAAGCTACATGCCACATAGAATGGACAAAAATTCTAATTCGTGACTACGCCTATCCAAGAATATTGAGTAAATAAACCCCATCCTCAACATCTTTTGTTCCAAGCCAGCTCAAATTGTACCAATACAAATGCCTCGTGGAAAGTAATTTATGTCCTCCATTCAATCTTATCAAGATACTTCTATGGCTAAGAGAATACCTGCACGCCTTCAAAGTAACGTCTCTCTATTTTTCCGGAGACTGCAATGTTGGAAAGCTGCTGTTTATATATCTGTCGAGAATAAATGAGCTCTTCAAGTGAACCAGCACCAAGTAGGCGAAATACTGTGACATGCCGTCTCTGTCCATACCGAAATGATCTGTCTTGTGCTTGCAAGTCTTGGGCAGGGTTCCAACTTGGATCAAATATCACCACACGGTTAGCACTAACAAGATTTACACCTAAATTACCTGCCCGAGTAGAGATAAGGAAAACCTGCATAAAAGAATTTAACCACTTAAATCA